CTCCAGCGGCGCAAGATGAGAGTTCAACGGGATTCTCCAACCCAACCTCGGGCGCGCGCGGGCCAAGCACAGCCTCTATTCTTATTTACAATACTTTACAAGCGCTATTAAATAAATACGGGCTCCGCTAAATCTCGGTGTCTTCAATATGTACAGCATTATTTCCCCATTGTGTTTGACTAAAGGTGGGTCCTATTACAGTGGCTGGGCTGACTGTAACAAGTATTGGGGTCAGGCCGCACGGGCTAATGAGCACAGTGACAAGCCGACCTCCAAACAAAAATTCCTAGCCAACGCAAGGCAGCTGCAGTAGATAATGTAACTCATTCTAACAACTCCACGTCCTTAAGTCTTAATCTAAATAAGTGACTGTACATTAATAACTTCAGGTTTTCCTCATAATTGATGTTGCAAAGAGGTGGCAGTTCTGTGAGTGGCTAATCTTAGAGGAGTAATATGCATTACTACTAAAAACAGTACTTCACTTAAACTCCGTATTTAGGGGTATGTTTAACTCAGTACTGGCTTTATATGCCTCATTAGAAGGATTTAAGCACCAAAAAGCCAGTCACACAAGATGACCAAAGGCTAAGCAGTAGACATATTTAGGCTTTCCTTTAGGTACAATGTTTTCAAGTAACAAAACCCAAAGCTGTGCAACAAAGATGACAAAAGTAAGTAAATGCTTCATACTGCAAAGTCTGCTCTCCTTGTAAACGGGAGCGTTTCCTCCACATACCACTTGCAGAAGAATGGAATGTATTCTGATCTCTAGCTATTTTACTGTATATAGATAGGATAAGACTCAGCCCTGGCTGGTTTAGGAAACGCAGATTTTGCCTCTGTGCTGGGAAGGCTCCCTTCCTATGCGGGAGATACAAGCTGCCTTCCCAGACAGGCACTACATGCACTATCACTGAAACACCCTACCGGCCAAGCATGCAGCAGGATTAATGTTTCACCCAAGTATCTGGCCAAGTCCCACTCTCTCTCTCTCTCTCTCCCTGTATCTCTGTGTTACTGACTTTGAAACACAAGTCACAATTACTTGGCATATCCTTTCCTTTGTTTTATGCTGGCTTCTGAGTTACAGATACACAAGTTTTCTGCACGTCACAACCAGGAGGTGCAAAACCAGCACTTGGGTCTAGCCATTTTCACCAGCAGCAGAGCTCCCCTCCTACTCCCCTGAAACATCCTCTGGACCAGGACTGTATCAAGTTGACAAATTCACATAGAAAAAGCTGCCACAGCCTGTCCTCAGTCTGCTACACAATTATATAAACAAAAAGAGGCTTCAGATCTGGAGCTATCAGCCAGGCACCTTTCTCGAGCACTAGGCCTAGATTTCGTTTAAAATGCAAGAAGCCTAAAGTAATGTATCATATGCATTGGTCCCCTAGACTTGGAATCTGCCTACCAAAAGGCAATATGCAAAACACACATGTGCCTGCACACCCAGCATGTTGGTGTGATTACCAGAATCGTGCTTAGAGACCCACAGTCTTAGAAGCAGCCACTCAGTGAAACACTCTCCTATGTAACCAGAGTAATCACATGGGTATTTTGGGCACAGAGCTGATCAACAACTTTTCTAAGTCCAAATACAAAGGTTTCCACATGGTAACACAACTGAAGCATCAAATGCAATATTGCACCTAACAAGAAACCGAGCTGTGGAGAAGAACGGGAAGAGATGCTAAGGTTAAACATGACATAAAAGTCCACCTGCATTACAGCGACACCGGGCTGTGCATCACAACCCTCTCAACGTTCAGGATTCCAAAACCATAAAAAAGGGGAGATATTTCACATCTATTTACAATATTACTGCGATACAATGCCTGATCGTGTAATATTTTTGAAATATGTGATGCCAGCACTGACTGGACTAGTATCTACTTTGTCATGTTAAGGCAGTACAACCAGAAAATACTGAAAGCGTCAAGCAAAGCTACTGGAACTCAGACACTGAAACTTTTCCCTTAAGGACTGGACAATATTCTGCTGATTAGGAGAGGGCACTCTCCACAGGTAGTCATTCAGTTTATCTGAATCGCTGTATGCGCTCAGATAGGGCGTAAGTGCATGTTTGCTGTTCGCCGATTTCGCTGGAGTACAAGACACCGTTTTGCTACAGAGCGTTTCAGAAGGGGCAGTGTCTGTGTTACTTAATTTAGGATCCAATTTCCTTGTCTGGTTCTGGTAAGTCTCCAGGTCAGATCCCTCATCTTCAGATTTGATTTCAACGTAGTCGTCATCATCCCCTTCTTCTTCAGTGTCCTTGAAATTAGAAAAGTAGTTCTGAGTAGCCACCTGTGCAGTCAGAGGGGAGGTCCTGTTCACTCTCAGGACTTTTTGAGAATCCTGCAGAATCATATCTGAATAGTTCTCAGGGATCTGCTTTCTTGTGTCAGGCCCTGTGCATGCTGGAGCAGTATCTGAAGCTTCATGGCTATCAAATCGGAAGTTCCTATTCGAATGGAGCTTTTTCTTCTCCATTTCATTAGGATAAACGATTGATTCTCCAGATCTACTGACCACAATAGAGGATGATGACTGTGACCTGCTGTATGCCTGCGGTTTTACATTGCTCGCTCTTCTTCCGAGGGAGTTATAGACGTGATCTTGATGCAAATTTTCTTTATTAGGCTGGCTTATAATGGCACTCCACCTCTGCACAGGGGCATGCAAACGGCTAGAAATTTGAAGCGATGGCACCGAGCAAGCTGACGGCAACTGCCTTGAACTACTTTTGATATCAGATTCTGCGTGTGAGCTCTTGGCCATCAGGTCTTGGGATTCAGGCCACGGAGAAAAGTCAGCCAGCTCTCCATTACTGTAGGTAGAGTGCAAAAGCCAATCTTCTGCTCTTGAGCACTCACTGCCTAACTGAGAACGGGAAGCAGGTGCAGCCACGGGTGTGGAATACCTTGGGGCTGACGGCTCCTGAGGACTGCAGCACGTTTCCTTTTGGTTCTTTGGGCTTTCCCTAAAAACAATCTGGTCATACAGCTGCGAATATTCAGCAATTCTAGCACCTAGAAGAGAGAGATTTAGATTACGAAAGGCAAACAATCCACACAAATTGCATGAAAAACAAAACAAAAAGCCCAAGAAGCACAAAATATTAATATATCTTGCAATGGTGAACAATCCTGAATCACAAACTCAGGAAGTAACATGACAACAGCAATACCATCAAGTGAAAAAAAAAGCGAATAAAAAGTTAATACAAAATATATAAAGGTGTTTGGGTCTTTTTCTTTTGTTTTACCATTTTAGAAATGGTGAAACAAAACATTTCAGAAACACTCTTGTATTAGCTTTTCATTTAAGAGACAAGTATTTCAGACATCTAAACGTAAATTATTATTAATTAATTAAAATTACCTATTATTGCCTAAATAGGTAATAGTCAATAAACACATGATACAGGCACAATTATTTTGCCCTGGGAAAAGAGACCAGATGATCTCCTGAGGCCCTTCCAACACTGTGTTTGTAGGTCTGCTCATCGCATCCACTAGTTTTGCTTGATCAAACCACCCCTAGCATACTTGTGATTGCAGCCTATTTGCTGTCTTTCCTCCTGGTCATGCTGAGATAAAAATCCTTTTGGCTTCCCTCAGAAAAGCATGCGGGGTGGGGGGTATGTGGAAAAAAAAGAATGAAGGAAGGTAACTTTTATCTATCTCAAACTGCTGTCTTTATGCTGGAAAAAGGCAGGAAGTGCTAATGACCTACTTGGTCTCTCTTCCCTTTCCTTTTCCCTCCTTGCCCCCAGGAGTTTGGACAGCCTCAAAGTCAACAACCAGGAGACATGCACACACTACTGGGTTTTTTATTCCCATACTTGACTTCCCTAAGCAGGGAAACTGCTCTCAGAGCGCCTACTCTCAAAAAAGGGAGGGAAGGCGAGAAGAAAGAGGCAATAACAAAAGAGAGGAAAAGGAATAGAAGCATTAGGACCAGTAATAGAACCGAGAGAGAAAGAAGGAAGTGGACATCCTGCGGAAACACTGGAATCAGGACACAGGACTAGGCCTCTGAAAGATGCCAGAGGGAGCAGGTTCACAGCTGCCTTGAGGTCATACCAATTCAAGGAAATGCGCCCCTTGGCTTTTACAGAAATGATAAAGAAGCCAAAAATAATTTTCTGTGAAAACCGGCTAGCCAGGAAACAGTCCTAAAGTTTTTAGGGGCCTTTAAAACCTGGTTAAGTATCTGCATTATGAGAAACATTCAAATGCTAAATTTTGGAATTTCTCCCTGCTTAATTCATGAGAAGTTTTGTTACTAAGATGCGATGGTTGGTGCTTTAACTTATTTAATGCAACATACGTGACTGCAACGAAGTATTGCAGGTTACACAGCAGAACACGCTGTAACAGTTCTGATAAGGGACTGTTTGTTTCACATCAAAGTCGAAGAGAACATTCTGAAAATGGCCTGGTTAATAAGATAGTTACAGACTTTTGAAAGCATAAATCTCACAAGAAGGCAAGCAGCACATGCTAGTTTGTGCAGTCTGGTGGCTCTGTGTCTGTTATGTGTTTCAGCTGACTAGGACCAAAGTCTTAAATTTCTATCACTTTGCACTCTCAC